TTGCATACTTTCTCCGAAGCTATAAAGAAGAACAAGAAGCCTGACTGGTTACTTCAAAATTTATGGGATGATTTGCAAAGGCAATGGCTTACCGCAAAGTTCTTAGAGAAGAGCAAAAAAGGAAAGAAAGTTCGCGCATCTTAGAAGAGAGGCTCCTTGCACACTGGAGGTACGATCAGCCTAGGGATAATAAAAAGAAGATTGATATGTAATTGCTTAAATTATTTTAATTTTCAAACTATATCTATTCTGTTTATTAACTAAATTAATTTGTTTTCAGGAAAAGAAGTTGGGGCGTCCAATGAACCATGATGAGCTATTAAAGGAGACGCATATTGTAAAGAAGAAGAAAGAGACGGATCAAGAAAGGTGGATCGAGTACCGGGCCTCGACTGTATATGTAAGCTTTCACTTTTCTTTAAGTATTTTAATTTACTTTTATATAAATTTTGAAATACTAATTCAATTTAAATTTTCATATAAGGTTGCTACCAAACTAACGTGAAGGAATTCATCAGCACTCAGCCAGCTGGTGAATTGGGCGAGCCAACCTAACCTTCGGACGAGGATTCTGAAAGAATATAGATGGAGTCTGCTGGCGGTCCAAAATGGGGGAAGGTATACGAGCTTCCTACTAAGAAATTCCATCACTATAAGTGTGGAATACAAGGAATAGGGACTTCCTCGCAAGGCGAGCAACTTGATGAGGAGAGCCTCTCCGCTATATGGGAGACTGTGACAAAACTCACATCCGAGCTAAAAGCGGCCAAGGAAAGAGAAAGGGTTATAGATGCTCAGTTCCTTGGCATGCAAGCTCAGATCAGAACTCTCCTATCTACTGGAGCTTTTTTGTTTGCCCCGGTCTCGTGAGTCATCGCTAGAGGCTCGACTTGAACGTGAGTGTTCCTTCCGTCCTCCCCGTGATCATTCCTCCCGTCCTCCCCGTGATCGTTCCTCCCGTCCTCCCCGTGATCGTTCTTCCCGTCCTCCACAAGAACCTTCTCGACATCGTCTTTTAGATGAAAGTTCATCAGACGATGATGATGATGATGTTGTAAAAACACTCCTTGACTTTTATATACTTTGAACTAGACAACTAGAACCGGTTTTGAACTAGTTGTAATAATTTTGAACTTGGTTTTAGATTTTTTAGTTCTATTGAACTTTAATTTGTTAGTTTTAATGTATTTATTGAATTGTGTTGTTGTTTAGGGATTTTGGTATGCTGGCAAGTGGTGTAGCTGCCAAAACAGGCATTTTCTGCCAAAATTAAAACCCAGAAGTTCCTAATTAAAAAATAATTCTACTGATTCGCGACCAACCTTGGTCACTTAATTTTAAAAAAATTAAAAATTAAAATTTACCAACTAAAGTTGGTCGGTTATTGAACAAGGATTACCCAGATTTCAACTTTACCGACCAACTTTGGTCGGTATGGTTAAATTTTAATTTTTTTTAAAAATATATATTTTACTTTACCGACCAACTTTGGTCGCTAATTTTTAAATATTAATAATTAATAACATAACGTAATTTAAATATATCGACCAACTTTGGTCGGTAAAATTAAATTATTAAAATATTGTTACCGATCAAAGTTGGTCGGTATATCCTTTAAATTGCACAGTTGGTCTTTTTACCTTTGCGACCAACGTTGGTCGGTACTTAGCGACCAACCTTGGTCGGTATATTAAAACGACCAACCTTGGTAGGTAACCAAAATAGCGATCAAGCATGTTTGGACGAGTTTTGGTCGGTAATTTGCCTAAACCGACCAACGTTGGTCTCTTTTTTGGGTCGCTAATTATCGGATTTCTAGTAGTGTTAGGTCGTGTCAGGAGACGCTATATTTAGCAAGGGCCTTGTCAACCGAGTGGTCATGCTTTCCCTAAAATTAAGTTTGGGAACAAAATGCATCAATTTAATCCGGATAGGTTTAAGGGTTCATATTCTCAATGATTGGAATATAGCATAAAAGCTGATGCTACATTTTGTTCGTGTTATTATTTATTTAAGAATGAACTTGAAAGTCGTGGTAATGCGAGGGATGAATTTACAAAAGATGGATTTAAGGGTTGGAACAAGGGTATGGAAAGACTTAGAATGCATGCTGGTGAAGTAAATAGTATCCATTACAAATGTTTCAACAGGATGCAAGATTTGATAAATCAAGAACAATCAATCCAATCTTCTTTTCACAAGTAAAGTGACAAAGCAAAAAGTGATCATCGAATTCGCTTAAATGTCTCGGTTGATGTGGTGAAATTTCTCTTAAGAAATGGATTGTCATTTCGTGGTCATGATGAGAGTGGATATTCTGAATATAAAGGTCTTTTTCTTGAACTTTTGGAATTTCATGGGATAAGCATTCGGATGTGGAAAAGGTAATATTACATACAACTCCAAAAAATGATATGATGATTTGTCCTGCAATTCAAAAGGATATTGTGGATGTTTGTGCTAAAGAAACAATTAAAGCTATCATCAAAGACTTGGATGGTGATTTCTTTAGGATATTAGTTAGTTGATGAATCAAAGGACATCTCACATAAAAAGCAAATGGCCCTAGTTATACGATATGCTAACAAAAGTGGGGAGGTGATAGAGCGCTTTTTGGGTATTGTCCACGTGAATGATATATCTGCACTATCATTACAGAAAGCAATTAATGATTTGATTTTGGTTCACTCATTAAGTTTATCCAAGCTACATGGACAAGATTATGACAGTGCTGGTAATATGCAAGGAAGAATAAATGGCCTGAAGTCTTTGATTTTAAAAGACGCGCCATCTGCATATCGTGTACATTGTTTTGCCCATCAATTGCAATTGACACTTGTAACTCTTTCAAAAAATTACCCGGATGTGAATAATTTTTTTGATGTTGTCACTAATGCATTGAATACTATTGGAGTATCTTTTAAATGCAGGGAATTACTTCGACAACACCAAGTAGAGTAGCTGGAAGAATTAATTAAATATGGAGAAATATTTACTGGGCAAGGATTGAATCAAGAATGTGAACTCCAACGACCAGGTAATACTCGTTGGTGATCCCATTTTAAGACTTTGGAAAATTTCATGATTATATTTTCTTCGATTATTAATGTGTTTAAAGATATGCAACATAATAGTTCTCATTCTCTTGAGAGATTTGCAGCAAAAAATCTTTTGGAAAATATTCATGAATTTGAATTTGTATTTTTGTTGCACTTGATGTTCAAGATGTTGCTTCTTACAAATGAATTGAACAAAGCTTTATAAAAAAAATAAAAAATGATCAAGACATCGTCAATGCTATGAGCTTGCTTGACCTTGCAAAGACAAGATTACAAACGATGAGAGAAAGTGAATTGGAGTCTTTGATGATTAAGGTTTACTCATTTTGTGGTAAACATGATATTATGATTCCCAAAATGGATGAAAACTATCCAAGATCGAAGCGTAAGTAGTGTGACAAAAATATTTTGGGAATCATAATATGATATTATGATTTCCAAAATGTGGAAATATTTTATGCAGTTATTGATTTGCAACTTCATGAGCTAAATAAACGCTTTGATGTAGTGACTAGTGACGTACTCCTTGGTATGGCTTGCTTGAATCCGGTTGATTCATTTGCTAATTTTGACAAAGACAGAATAATGAAGTTGACCAACTATTATCCAAGTGAGTTTGATGACAACAAGCTTCGAGATCTCAGTTTTCAGCTTGATAATTTCTTAGTCTATGCTCGAATGTGTGATAACAAGTTTGTCAACTTGAAGGGAATTAAGGATCTTGCTATAGTGATGGCAAAGACAAAATTAGATTAAACTTGGTGTCATGTTTATTTACTTGTGAAGCTTACTTTGATTCTACCTGTTGCTACTGCAATCGTGAAAAAAACATTCTCCTCAATGAAGCTCATTAAAAATGATCTACGTAATAGCATTAGTGAAGAATTTTTGAATGGTTATTTAATTTGCAATATAGAGCGTAAAGTATTTGCAACTATAAGTAGATGATGCTATTATATATCGTTTTCAAAGTATGAAAACTCGTCGAATACAATTGTAAATTGATGATGTTTTCTTTTTTGTGATAATGAAACTAATTATTTTTTGCTTCCTAAGTTATCGTACTGTAAAAATTTATGTCAGCAAACTTAATATTTATCTTAAAAGCAATGGTGCACTCATTCTTCCGGAATCCTAGATCCACCTCTGGATCGTGACAACATGATTAGAAAACATGAAGAAATTTAGGTCTTCTTTTCATTTGAGATATGCCCTGGGATTTTAAATATTTGAGAAAACATGGAGAAGTTTTTAACGAACTGAGTTTGGTTGGGATTCGGCTATTAGATTTGTAGTTATTTGATAAATAAAAAGTTCTTTAAACTCTTTGAGGAATAAGGGTCACACTCTTTTTACATGAAATATTATCATTTAACCGGAATTAATTAAACCATATATATTCTCACCTCATTTTAAGAATATCGTTATTGTTCGTTGTTGCGAGGAGTCCTAACAAGGCAGAATTATAGCAACTAAATCATGACACAAAAAAAGAGAGCTAAATTATGACATATGATTAAACTGATATTTTTATTTAATTTTGGCGTGAAAGATAAAGAATTGGTTCTACAACACAAAGGAAGTTGTGGATGCAGAACAAAAACTTTGAGTTACTGTCGATAGATTAATCATAATACTTCATATGAATACTAGAGGATTCGAACAAACCTGGGTCAAAAGAATATAAATTTGATAAAAATCACATAAGAAATTACGTCATACTTGAAAAATGTGTCTCGACTTTTATAATAAATAGAGTTAGTATCAATAAATCTATTTTCATGACTCAAAAAAAGTCATTTTTTCTCCAAAATGCCATGAGAAAAGATTATTCTAGTATAGTATAGCCCACAAGCAGCCCATTTCGTTATGGGCTTTTAGAAAAGGGCTCAACTAAACGAGTAAACACAAGACCCTTTTCTGGTTCTATTCCAACGACCACAACTGAATATCGTCAGGCTTAATATGGCGGAAGCTCACAAATCGAGAAATGGTCCAAATTTTTTTGGCCTCGCCGGCTGCGATTCTCCGGCTCAAATTTTTTCCTCAGTTATTTTTGCCGGTCGTCTCCGGCGGTGATGCGCTCTTACGAGGTTTCTTAAGGTCCGTAAACTGTTCGGATTTAGTATCATTCTGTTTAATTTCATGTTTCCCCAAATGGCGATAGGCTTATTACTGTTTAATTTTTGTGAAATTCACTCGTGAAATCTGTAGCATTTAGGAATATGAGCAGATAAGGTATATTCCCACTCCATAGGCAGTTAAGGATTGTTAATGAGGGGATTGTCGATGGGATTCTGATACTGCATCATACATTGTTTTGGTGTCTTTTTTATAACCTATGATAATTAGTCAAAGATATATTACATCATTACAGAATTAACAAATAGGCATGAGTACATGGTTTACCACAGTGAAGTATTTCCTTGCAGCGAGAAGCCTTCCTATGGCAAAAATGAAAAAAAGGGACTTCAATCGAAGGAATGATTCTTTTCAATTAAGTTGTACGAAAGGTAGAGATATGATTCTTTTCTCAAGTCCTCGCGATTTAAGTTACAAAAGAAGTGTTTCTCCTAGTATTGTGGCAGCTTATAAATGAATATGCAGTTTGTGGGATCTATCCCTGATTCCCAGAAGATAGTGGCAGTTGGTTCAACAGATGGACTGCAAAATGAGAAGACAATTTTACCTACTTTAAGTGAATTCTGAACTTAAAAATTAAAAAAAAAAACTAAGTGATAAATTGCTCGTCTCGGTGATGCAGCCTTGTGGTCTAAGCTGCTAGTTTTGTATGACGAAAATTGGTACACCTCAGATACGTGACTTTTGTGTGTCCGAATAGCGTAATCAACATTTTGTTGTTTATCGAGTTCTCCTAGAAAGCATTTTTAGGATGATTTTATCCTTGAACATCTTGCGTTTTTTGTTCTGTTGTATCTGTGATAACATCAGAATGTCTAATATCATATGGCATATGTTATTTCCGAGTCAAACAAATTGGATTAGGTTCTATTTACCTTCGCCTCGCAATCCCCTAACTTCCTTCCTTAATGATTTGATCTGAAAGAGTGGTGGTTTAACTGTGATTCTCCTAATTCTTAAATTATCTGTTTACCACGTGAGGTGAATCGGAGTAGATAACTTTTTATTTCAAACTCAGGTTTTGCAAAACACTTAATTGAATTGTTAATGTGGAATTTATGCAATATGTTTGCTTTAAGACTTAAATGATATGGTACAATATATTTGTCGATTGTTTTTCTTAGCAATTGACAGTGGATTCCTCTGAATCTGGAGGTTGTCCATATGCTCAGGTGCCTCTGGAAGCGTGACTACTGAGGATGTTGCTTCAATGCTTATTGGACTAGGAGTGAAGAAAAATGTTGATCTCAGAAAGCTTGCATTGGCTGGAGACTTTTTACTTTATTTGCAAACCTTTTTCGGTCAGCCTTCTGGTTCTGTGGTTTCCCTTGAGCTGTGAGCAACTGGTACTGCCTGAATCTTAAGGTATCTCTAATGCCTTTGGCATGTCTACACTACATTTCAATTTTGACATGAAAGTCCCTCTGGACCAACTGTTACTGTACCATAGCATCGTCTTGTGTTGTTCAACATCTTGGGTTAAAGAATAGTAGGAAAAAGAGGGTAATTTTGACATCTTCAGAAGTGCAGAGGGAACGTTATCAAGTGAATAAATACATAAGGGGTGATTTTGAAATAAATGTTCTTAAAATAGGATGGAAGTATTCAGTTCCTTAACTTTAGGACTCAAAATGGTATTTTACACTTGTACGTTCTTTCTCCCTCATCGAACAGAGAAGGAGCTTTACGGCACAATAAAAACCCTAGCTCAACATGGGAGTTCGTTCCTTCGGGGACATCCTATAAAATTGGAACGATACAGAGAAGATTAGCATGCCCTGTGCAAGGATGGCACGCACAAATCGAGAAATGGTCCGAATTGTTTTTACCATCTCGCCAGCGGTGATATCGGCTATACTCCGATGCCAAAGAAGTTTTTCCGGTCGGCCGCGGCGATGCTCTCTCCCGAGATTTCTTGAGGTTCGTAAACTATTTGAAGTTTTCCTTGTCCCTTTTTATCTTCTGTCCCAAATTAGTTGACGGGGATAAGCTTATTATGCCCTAGTGTAATTTTTATTCTGATATTAATGTTTTTGTAAAAATCACTCATGAGACATTTATAAATACTAGTTTTAGTGTACGTGCGTTGCACGTGTATACCACGTCAAGCAATAAAAGTTAATTAATAGCAGTTGACATCAAAATAAGCACAATGTTATATTCATTTAGTTCAATGATCGTTATTATATACTATAAATATTGATACAATATAGTGGTTGGTTCAATATATCTTCTGAATAATGTTATTCACACCGGATAAAATGAGGTTCTTGATATATGTTACTTTTTGTTGCTTCGGTCGTCAAGATCAAAACTCTTGTTTGCCTATCTACAACAAATAACATGCACATTGATATTAAAAAGAATGAAAACTTAATGTTATCCTTCTTTTTCTTTTTCATTCCATCAAAACTTTAAGTACTATTCTTACTAAAATTTTACAACTTGACCACATATATTAACAGTAATAATTTAACCTATATCAATAAAGTGCACATTTATTCTTTAAAAAAATAAAGTACTACTGTCAGTCATTTTTTCTTATCTTATTCCATAAAAGTTTTTAAGTACTTTTGTTATACAATTTTGTAATTTTAAAAGAAACATTTTAAGTCATAAACGACTTTAGGGAGGAGTTCAACTCGCAAGGATAATAAGTATCTTTTTCCTATAGCACCACACGTTTAAATTAATAATCCATGTTAAATAGTTTTTAATAAAGAATATGAAATCGTGATATTTTAATAGAAGTGTTCAACTTCTTATTCTATACTGATTTAGTTTTAGAATTCTATTTTCGGTAGGAAACTTACCAACAAATAGTTAGGTTGATGAAGACATTAACCAATCAAGAACCTAAAAAGGAAGTATCAATGGAGAGTTAGAAATAAGAGGAAAGCATGATTATTTTAGGACTTCTACATACCAAAAAAAATAATCCAAAATATTGGTTAGATACTACGATTCCGAATTCCAAGAATATTGAACAATATCTTTTACACGAGGAAGGTCACAAAATGCCAATCAAATACTTAATGTTTATTCTCTGTTTTAAAATTAACCTAACCTAAGATTAAAAAGTTTGACTCTCGCATTTGAAGTGGCATTATTTTTAAAAAATAAAAGAGTAGAATAAGAGTATTATTTATTCTACAATATGACTGGAATTCTGTCCTTTTAAAAATAATGAACATACTTTAACTCGATATTGTTCTTTTTAGTGTACTACTTGGAGAATGCATTACAATATGTTGATTTTGGTATTGTTAAAAAAGTATACTAAAAATATAATTATGTAAAACTAATATTAAAAACCCCCAAAGAGACCCTTATGGTCAGAGAAACTCAACAGCTATAGAATTTTTTTGTTGTTCCTTTTCATTTAATCCTAGTATATGTTATTATTTTGTAGACTGATAATACTGCAATTGTTCATCTTTGTGTTCTTCAATTAAGAACTCTATTTCTACTATAACTTAGTCCCAATGCTAAAATTGTCCACTCCGTGTGACTTCTTGTAGGAACAAGCTTTAAATGTTAAACCCCATATGTAAAGTTTAACGATCAACACTCTATATCAAAGGAAACATATCAACAGAAAAATAAAATGTTATAAATTTTTCTAAAGACCGTCTTAATTAAAAGAACATCAACACTGTATTGCGAATAAATGAATACGAAACACCCTTTAAACTTACAAAAGGAAAAAATGTAAAACTATCAAAGTTCTGCAATTATTAATTTAGTCTTCTGTTGTCTTTTATATTAAACTCGTGATAGTTAATTTTGTTCTTAGAAGTTAATGGGAAAAGTTTGATCAATTTGCTAACTTACTCTTTTAATACAATCTATTCATCTATAAGAATTTCATAAGTTAATTATGCTTAAAAACATAGGATGTATGATAGTCTAGAAAGAAATAAGAAATTACCTTATCACCTTATCAAAAAAAAAAAAAAAAAAAAAAAAAAAAAATAGGAGTAGGTAGGTATTTAGAAAATTCTGAAACTCTGCCGAAATTTTGAAAAAAAAAAAAAAAAAAAAAAAAAATAAGAAAAACAACATAAATAAAGGGAATTAAATTACCTCTAAGAAACTAATGACCAAAGATTGTTTTCCAAGTATATCATTCAGCTATACGTTCCTACTCGGTTTTTACATCTTTATTTTTTCAAATAAGGCAGGTTTCATGAATATACAAAATTGAGATGATTTCATATTCCTATTTATTAGGAGAAATAATTAAATTACTATTCCTAAATATTATGCTAATAATTAAATGATTATTTTGCCTACTATATACCAAAAATAAAGTATAAAATTTGAATGCACTTTTAGAAAATAATTATTTCTGTAGTCAAGAAACCCATTTATATTCAACTTAATTTCTTATCATTTTAAAAATTTAGTTGATCTCATAAATTATCTTCTTAGAATAACTGATAATTTCTGAGTTTATTATTGATTCGTGCTCAACATTCCAAATAATTATAATAGTTAATTTAAAACTTTTGAAAGTTAAAGATACAATGTAGAATATATTATTAATGCAATAGACTTGTATATTTTAAAGTATTTTAATATATAAAAAAATTTCACCTAAATCAAAATACAAAAAAAGTTTACTCCGTTATCTTCCAAGAATGTCGTACGTCCTCTTTTTTTGATTTAATTCTTGGTTGTAATGCTATTATGCTAGCGCCGTCCAAAGGGGCAAACTTCTAAATACCACGAAGTGGTTACGTCCTCTTTCGTTAGTCTTTTTAATTCTTTCCTTTTCTTACCATTCATATATTATTTAAGTGTAAAAATTTATATAAAGTAAAATATTAATGTTTTTGAAGTTCTAATTAAATATTAAGGCTTTCTACGTATTCCTAATAAGGATGGATGTAATATATATAAAACCTAGTTGATTTTGTAGTCCTAAATATTAGGAAAATGATTAAATGACTATTCCTACATATTAGGAAAATAATTAAATTACTATTTTATCCAATGTAAACTCTATTTTTAAAGGGTAAAAAAGGCGAACGACATTTCGCTAAGGGCCTTCGTGCTTTTAATATAGTATATAGATGAGCACTTGCAGTATATCCTGCGTGGTCTACATTTATAAATATGAGCACTTACAGTATATCCTGCGTGGTCTTTTGTGTTTCTTCTCTTTGAATGTAAATAAATGTTGAGCCAAATTGAGTGATCGTACTTTCTTTAGTTTTCATTTTAGCATATAGTGTGCCTGTATTGCAACGGTCAAATTTTAAGGGTTGAGACTTCAAATGTCTATGTTTTTGGAATTTTAATAAATTGACTGAGAAGTGAAGAGTTGAGGATTATTTAGAGGAATTTAAAGCACTGAGAGCTCAAATGGTGGTTAGAAATCTTGCTTTGAATGAAGCTTATTTCTTATCTAGTTTTATAAGAGGGCTTAGGGAGGAAATTAAGCTGTCCGTAAAATTGTTTCGACCTTCTACATTAAGTCATGCTGTAGAACAAGCTAGGATACAGGACAAGGCAATTGAGCCTATTCTTAAGAAAAAGGGGAATGATGCTAAACACTGTCGGATCAAAATACAACAATCAATAAATTTGGTTCCTTGCAGTTTACTTCCAAGGTGATAGAAGCATTTAAACCTATTACTCAGCAAGGAGTATACAAGAATGACAGAAAATGCAAGGCTACTCTAGATCTCAATTTCCTGGCGTTGAAATCATGGAAAATAAGGAGCAAAAGGTCTTCGATAAAGGTCTTAGAAAGATAAAACTGCAGATATCTCAAATATTGATGCTTGCTCCAGGGAATATAAAACAAGTAGTGCCATAAAATGTATCGCAGATGCAAGCGGCCAAACAACTTTCTGGAAGTAGCTATTTTGCCTCCTTTGATTTTATATTGGTGGATAGCCCAGTGCAGAGCAAGTTCAAGAGGTACTTTGGTTTTGAGTTTAGTTTACGTAATAAAAGTACAAAAATTTCGGAGGAACAAAAGGAGTATGGAGAACTGTGGTGTAAAAAGTTATTTCTAATGGATCAAGGGTGTTGTCCTGTTCTTGAGTTATTTCAACATTAGATGAGGAACTGTCGACACGTGAGACTTGGAACCGCTCTGAAGCTTGTTAACTGTAACCAGTTATCTTTAAATAGTGAAGCTCTAATATTAATTGGACAGAAGTAAGATATTGAGGCTTCCTGTAAAAAAGTGGGAACTAAAGATGTTATGGAAGCTCTTTTGAGAAATAGTTTTAATAATGACATTCTATGGTTGTTAAATGCTTGGACTTGCCATCACGCTAATTCTGGTTGATGTGTTTGTTTGCTCCAAGGAAACATTTATTATATTCTACATGGATATGCAAATGCCAAAGCAGTGTCATTCCTTTCATTCTGAAGAAAATGACGCAACTATTGAGGTAAAAGGCCTGTTGAATCACTAATGTTTATTGATGGTGATCCTAATTTCTGGGATATACCATTTTGTTGTCATTCTGAAGAAAATGACTCCACTATTGTGCGCTGCTAGCGCTCTGGTCGACAACTCTATGAATGTGCGATCGAGGGCTTATTAGGTTATACCGCAATTTGGATCCACAAAAATTATTTCAAGGCACAAAGTTAGAAGTTGAAGGGTAGAGTACTCCATCGTCAGAAACATTTAATCACTTAAAATGGCAAGTTCCAAAGATTAGCACACAACTTTCGATGCTATTGTGATTTGGGCATATTCTATATATGCAGTAGATAGTCCCACACCGTCCAAGACCTGTAGTTTTGCAGAGTTTATATGGCGAAAGCTCAACATCAGAGTGCCAAATTTTTTTCGCCTCAACGCGGCAGTGATATTCTGGTCCCAATTTTTTTTTTTGTCAGTCGTCGTTGGCAGTGCTCTCTCACGAGATTATTCAAGATTCTTAATCTATTCGGAGTTTATTTCATCGCTTTACTTTCCTGTTTCCCCAAATTCAGCTGACGGTAATAAGCATATTATTATGCCCTAGTTGAATTTTGCATCTGATATTGCTGCTTTTCTGAAGTTCACTCATGTCCCATCTGAAATATTCATGAATATGAGCACTAGAGGCATATTCAATTCCATGGCCTTTTCTTTTTCTTAGGCTTGAAGGTAAAATAAATATTGAGGAAAAGTTGAAAGCTCATTCTTTGTTTAGTTTTCAGTTCATCATAGTGGTGCATGAATTGCAATGCTGGACTCTTTTAAGGTCATCAAGAAACTTTCTTGGTAGAGACTCAACAAGTTTATTACCAATCTCAATGTTGTAATTACTCAGATTTTAAGTGCAATCTTTGTAATATCAACGTATAAATAAAATCTTATCTCATCCCAAAATAAGTAGTTACAGTCTAATTTGAAGAGCAAATTAGTGTCCACACCTAGGAAGATGATTCAGTATACTGCAAAGATCAATTCTGACGGTTAGAGTACAGAAAGGAACCACAGAGTTCCAGCAATAAAGCTTCTCCTGGAATTTTGTTCTTTCTTTCCTATATAGTTATATTGTTTTGAATGTATCGCTCTTGATACTTGTTTTCACAATTTACGACCTGAACATGTTGACGACCCAAAAACTAGTGAATCATTTGCGGGATATGCATCTAAATTGGGTTACATATGAAATAGGCAGGGAATGTAATGATTAAGAAACACACAAATTATAAAAGTGATCGTAGGTCATACACACTAATCATGAACATTTCACTGAGAAAATTCTTGATGCTTCTTTATTTCTGGAATTTTTTTTGACCTGTCATTCAAATAAATTGTTTGAATGGCGAACATTTTTCTACCTTCAATCTAATTTCTTTGTTCTACTACTTCGTCCTTCATAGCTAAATAAACCAGATAATCTTGTTGGGGATGAACTCAGTCATCTATTTGGCTGCTTGAAATATTTTTCCTACATAAACTAGAATTGTGGCAAGAAAGCCCTTTTAAGGTTCTTATGGGTGCAGCGAGGGGCCTGTTAATGAGGGTAATGTCGATGGGATTGTGATACGTGTATCATACATTGTTTTAGTGGACTAAGTGTGAGATTAAATTTTCGTTACGAGAATGTTTTTTCATAAAATAATTAGCAAATAGGCATGGCTACATGGTATGTGATCCACTTTTGTGCAATGTCTTTTCTGCATCCTGCTATTATTTGAATATTGAGGAATTCATGTCTAATTCGTTGTTAAATTCCTCTGTGATTTATTTCTCTGCAATGAAGAACCTACCACTCTAATTTGCAGTTATTCGAAGTCGAGCGTGTTGGGGAGTATATGTTGTGAGCTGCTGCGCAAGGTGTTCAGTTAGCTTTTTCTCAAGTTTCTTTCTCTTCCGGTAGCCATCGTGTCATCTAAATAACTCCCCCCCCCCC